ATAAGAATGTTACTAGGATTTCAGAGAGTTAATGATTCTAGTCTAAAACATATAGAGTCTGACAATAAGTACACAGATAATGAATTCCTAAACAAGGTTGTGTATATCATACACATTCAAACATTTGTAGAATAAAAAGAAAAAACACAAAAGGCAACCCCCTGCCATCAAGTCAATTACAACTCATAGCAACTATGTTGTTGTTAGGAGTCATTGAGTATAATGCATAGCAACTCCAATGAGTAATAGATCTGAACCCTGTCCTATCCTATGCCATCTTTATAATCTCTAAATATTCTTAATCCAATTCCTGCAGCCATGTATCAATCCATCTCATTGAGGGTCTTACTTGCTTTTACTGACCCTCCACTTTTCCCAAGCATGATCCCCCTTTTCAAGGGATAGCATCTCCTAACAGCATGCTCAGAGTATGAAAGACAAAGCTTTATCATTTTTCACTCTAAGGGTGGGCAGGGAGCACTGTAGTCTAGTAGTAAGGAGTTGCGCTGGCAACCCAAATGTATGTGGTTCAAGTCCATCAGCTGCTCTTTGGGGACAAAGATGTGCAATTACCTCCTATTCAATTAACTGTTTCCAAAAACTTGCTGGAGGGTCAGCTATGAGTTGTTCTAACTTAATGGTACATAACAACAACAATAATATAGCAACTTTGTTGTGGTGGTGTTGTGTGCCATCCAGTTGGAACTAATCCGTAGCTGATCCTCCGGTAGGTTTTCAGAGGTAGTAAATTTCACTGGGGATTGTCCATATTTCTCCTGTGGAGCAATTGGTGAATTTGAACTGTGCCTTTGGGATTGCAGCACAGCTTATTACCACTAGGCCACAGGACAGACTATAGGGTTTCCAAGCCTGTAAATCTCTATGAGAAGAGCCTCATTTTTCTTCTGTTCAATGTCAGGTGGTTAGCATCTCATCAGTCACACACCATACCACCAGAGCCCCTTAAAAAAAGATATAAACAAACTCACAGTCATCAGGGAGTTTCAATTCATAGCAGCCCTCAATTGTGTTTCTAAGGCTGTAAATCTTTCTCCTGGGCAGTAATTGGTGGATTCAACCTACCAGTCTTTCTGTTAATACCCTAATGTACTATGAATTATGGCACAATGACTTCTTTAAGGAAAGTATCACTCACTCATTCATTGCTGACACTCCAGCTGGTTTTCAGGAAGCTGTAAATTAAATCAGAGAATCCTGCCCATCTTTCTTCTTGGAGCTATTGACAGATTCAAACTGCCAGTAATACTACCTTTGGATTAGCAACCGAAGTCTACATACTACATCATCAGAGCATTAGAAGAGGAAATATTTGTCAACAAGTGAATGAAATAATTTAAAAAGCTACGATGTCAGTCTAGAGAGGAAGTTGTGCCTGATTCAGGCCATGGTCTTTGCAATTAGTTGTTATGCATTAGAAAACTGGACAATGACTGGAGTTAACAGAAGAAATATTGAGGTCTTTGAGTTGTGGTACTAGAGGAACAGTGTTAGACATACCATGGATTATTAAGAGAACAAACATGTTTATTTTCGGGAGGGTGAAACTAGGCTCCCCCTTGGAGGCAAGGATTTTGAAGCTCCATCTCACATACTTTTGGCATATGACTAGCAAGTACCAACCAGTCTATGGAGAGGGACATCATGCTTGGAAAGGTGGAGGGACTCTGCATGAGAGGAACACTGATAAGATGTATTGACACAGTAAGTGGAGTAATGGGGGGGGTTAGGTATGTTGGAGACAATAGACTGGCTCAGGACAGAGATAGGTTCAGAGCTACCATACACAGGTTCTCTAGAAGTCTCAGGTGACTCAATAATAAGAACATAATAAGAACAACAACAACAAATACCAGAATAAAAAAAATTCCCAGCAAGCTATGAAAAAACATTGACTTTCAGGATGTCAATTCTGGATTGAAATATAAACAAAATATTTGTGGTAATGAGTCACAGTGTAGGGATTTCTGTAGGTTGGTACTAACTATCCTTGCCCACAGACCTAGGGTGATGATTAACAGTATGCCATCACTCAAACACTCATCTACAACACATACCTTGTTGTTTTTAAAAAAGGTAAGTATAGAAAATGGTGTTATGTCATAGATTTTACCACATAAAAACTTACAACATGTAATGTATATAATATTCTTTGGAGGCTATTCCTTGGGAAGGAACACCCTGCTTGGAAAGTAGAGAGGTTGGTTAAAGAGAGAAAGAACCTTCATCAGATGGATTGACACACAGCTGAAGTGGGCTCGAGTCTGAAATAATGTGAATGGTACAGGATAGGACAGGGTTCAGATTTATTGTTCATAGCATCGCTATGAGTCATACTTGACTCTCAAACACCTAACAACAAAAATGTATGTAATGCCCCAATGCACTGAAAATGACAGCCTACCTTCTTTATGTGGATTTACATGAGACACCTACCAAGGTTAGCATAACTCTCTGGGTAACTCCAGGGGCCCCTTTTTGATCACTCTTTGGTTATACCTGGAGAACATAATTTACTTGGCCATTATTATGATAAGAGGTATAATTAGCAGTCATTTTGCAGAACAAAGTATTGATGCCACAAACCAATTTGCTGCAAAGTGCCTGTAAAGCAGCACCTGCAACATCTATGTTGATGAATCAAGTAATTGTACATCTAGCCTCTGATGTGTATGTGCAATTAGATTAATTTACATATGCCAACCAATTACATAGTTTACCAATTTGTCACTTTCTTTATGCTTCCCCCCACCCACGTTTAAGTTCAGATAGAGCAAAATTTCCAAATGCTCTATAATTACACTGTCATCTATTCCTTTTTTCTCAAGACAGGTACTGATATTTCTAATACATCTTTCAGATCATAAAATATAAGGATAGACTACAAAGGAGCCATTAAGTCTGTACTGATTCATTATAGCAGGACACTGCTTCACTTGTACCGCATGTTCCAAAACTATTTTAATCAATCTTTGTGTTCTTTCAAAAGAACATATAAGTATATATAACATGTAACTCCAAAGTCACCAAGTGATAATACTGAGAAATGCTAATATAAGAAGGATAAGGATTTTGTAGACAGAAGGGAAAATGACTGAGCTCATTCACTTTTAACACCTCTTGGCAAAGATGAATAACTTGATTCTGTGCCCATTTAGATCTAGAAGAAGAATACCTGAATTCTCATTTAAATGCTAATCTGGCAGTGGTCTTACACAGAAAAATGAATTCTTGAAAATGTTTTGAAAGACATAAAGATGCAAAATTTTACTCAAGACTACATCAAGCGTTTGAACAGTACTGAATCTCAAATGTTTAAGTATAAACATGAAATAAGCTCTTAATTCTCCATTAACTTGTGGCAAAGTGAGTTAAGTATGTAATTTATATGCTACAGGTTAGATAAACAAGTGTAAATAAAAGGCAGTTTAATTTTTTAATACGTGATTTAAGACAGAAAATCTAAAACTAAATTGTAAATTGTATTGTAAATTGTAAATTGAATTGTTCTCGAGCTTGAGCAGGATGGAGATGAGGAGGACGGTGCAGGACAGGGCAAGGTCAGGCCTCTTGTTCAGGGGTCACTATGAGTGTAGCTGACTTGACACTGGACAAGAACCAATTTAACTGTAGACGCTTCAATCTACAATTAAGTTTCAAATGTAATATAAAGGTCTTGATGGAGGAAAAATCCGAATATGAAGTGTGAACACAATTTAAGTCCAATTTCAGCAAATTAATGTTACACTACTGCAGAAAAACAAATGAAACACTCAAAAAATAAAAAGCCACAGTAAATATATGAAAATAATGAAATAATGAAAACCACAGTAAATATATGCTACTATTTGCTGTAATGAAGTTATTTCTATTTGCTGTAATGAAGTTATTTCCTGTTGTTGTTGTTATATGCTGTCAAGTCAAAACTGACTCACAGTTGCCTCTCCAGTGGGTTTTCAGAGACAGTAAATCACACAGGAGTCCACTGTCCATCTCCCCTGGGAGAGCAGCTGGTGGTTCTGTCCAATGTACTTGTGGGTTAACAGCACAGCTCCTTACCACTAAGCCGCCAGAGTTCCTTATGAATGTGCTTACTAGCTCTGAACTTAATAAAAAGAATTTTAATAATACTGAAAGACTAGAACAAATGATCACCTCATTTGAATAATAACATTCAATGAAAGTTAAAAACAATGCATTATTATAAGACTTGGAGTTGCTTTAGTTACCTTCTGATACTGCTTGTTTAGGAAAATTGTCCAAATGCAAGAAAATCTACCCTCCTGCTTTGAAAAAAAAAATCATCAGACTTTCTGACTTCCTACTGAAGCTCATTCAATAGTCAACACTAATTTCAGTGAAGTTTTTCTCTCATATCTGTAAATATCCTGTTCTGCTTTTTAAGTCATTAATATTCAAAGACGACCAAAAAAGAGAGAGAAAAGTGCTGCCTGCCACTTTTGACAAAAAGCCTCACATCAATTTTCTCCTATATTCATTCCAGCACCTGGCACCAAGCCTTCATCACATTATTTTAACAAATTATGGATGAATAAATAAACATTATAATGGGGTCCTTTTTTTAGCATCTTCTTCAGAAAGAATACAAATCTCAGGGGTTTTTTGTTCTGTTTTGAATCTTTTATTGTCTTTATGGCTTTTCTCGAATTTCCTGATGTTTATTTTAGGATGACAAGGCCAGAATTGGGCACAATATCCTACTGAGGATATGCCCCGTCAGAAGTATACTAGAAAATTTATTGTGTCTATAAATTCTAGCAGAGTCTCTGGGTGACGTAAACAATTCCTATGCTTGGCTGCTTACCAAAACGTTGGAGGTCCAAGTTCATCCAGAGTTGGAATCAACTTGATAGCAACTAACTATAAGCTCCTACAGATAGAATTTTGCTTCAGAAATAACTTTACATAAGTAAGAATATTTTGCACATTTCCACCCATGCAAATAATTACAAAACACTTACCTCAAGAACCAACCACAGTTTATCTCCACTTCCTTTATCCTTTTGAAAATACATGCCGTAGAATCTGACCACATTAGGGTGGTCGGAAAGTGTTTTTAAGATATTGTACTCAGCTTCAATCTCTTCATCAATATCCTAAATTTAAAAGTCATAAAAAAGAGTAATGTGATAAAAATATAAGTGACGAAACCACTTAGCACACACTACCAAGCATAGAATTTAATTTTGTCAAGCAAAGTCATAATATTTTTTACTGTGCTCATTATTACGCATTAAAATTTCATATTGTTTAAAAAGAGAGATGCATCTATTTTTGGTAATCAAGCGCATACCAAATTATGTTAATTCCACTGCAGTGAAAAGGGATAAATAAATGGTTAGCATAAATGTTATTGCTGCATTCAACTAAGGAGCGATACATATGGCTTGGAGGAGAACTACTATAGAGAACTGCAATTGTGTAGTTTTAAATAAGTTAAAATAATCAAGTCACTGACGTGAAACAGAAACTCTTAGAATAAAGAAGCTGTTTTATTTTGTTTCTTTGAAATACTGAACATTTGGATGTTATCAGGAACTAGTTAATCATGCATTTTTAAAAAGTTAAATGATGTATAATAATAGAACTGTTAGCTAGCTAAAAGGCCATTCATCAGAAGTAGAACACGTTATGATCTTGTCTTTAAAAAGTCAATGCTGCCACTTAGCCATGTCTCAGGAAAATCATATATGCATGAAATAGCTCACTGAACAATAAGAAAAATATCTTATTAATATACCTTCAAAGCAACACTTAGCATATTGCTGTTTTAATACATAATCACAAAGCCAGAAAGAATTTTAGATTAGCACTTCAATTTTAAAGGAAGAAAGCCAAGCTCAGAAAAGTGAAGAGTCACAGAGTTGGTTAGCGAAATACAAAGATTAGAGGCTAAAACCCACTTACTTACATTCCTCTCATCTCCCTACTCTCCTGCAGAAAAAATAACTTGTTCAAAATGCAAAATAATAAGCTCTTTTAATGAGTGAAGTTCTCTTTATGACATACTTAGCTGCATTCAAATTTGTTTTATTAAAACGAGAATCTCTAGGTTAGAAATCATTTTTACTTGACTTTTGACATGATGAATCAGCATTTAATAAATAATTCTTGGAAAACACATATATACCAGGAGAAGAACAAAGGCAGTAGAAGAACAAATTTAATGTTACAGTAGGAGATCAAGATTGTCTTTGATTTTTAAGATTTATAATATTCATTGCAAAAGTAAATGATAAAAGAATAAAGGTTCCATGTATTCACAAAGCATGTGCTCTTCTCTATAAAACCACATGCTTTTCTCTATCAAGGGAACTCTGGCAGTGTACTCCACAGAGAGCGGTACTGCTAACCCAACTCTGGCACCTCCCTGGCTGTTCCATCCACCAATGATTCCAAGGGAAAAAGATGAGGAGTCTCCGGTGAGATTTACAGCCTCCTGAAAACTCACTGAAAGGTCAGATATGAGTTGGTTCCAACTTCCTGGCAATGGTTTTCATTTGACATTTGATCAAGAAATAGAGGAACAGGAGAGTCTGGACATCTCAGATTTATCATTTAGATGTCTTTCCTTACCAATCATTAACTGTTTATTTTGTGTTGAAGTAATTACTATATGAAGATGAGAGGATTAGGATGGGATGCAAGCCCCACTTTCATTGTTGTTATGTGCCATCAAGTTGGCTGCATATTGTACATAGTGACCCTATATACAATATCTCTGAAGCCTGCCCTGTCCTGAGCCAGTCTCACTGACTATAATACACCTATCCCCATTGCCCTAGTTACTGTTTCCACCCTACTAGAAGCTTATATAAGCTCATGGGACCTTAAAGTTAGGTGCTTTCTCTTGTTGAAAGCTCACTTGGGACAAGGCATCCCAGACTGCATCACCCACAGTTACCATCCAGCTGCACCACAAATGACAGTCTACAGGATCCTGGCCCATTGCTCACCACTTTCTCCAAAACTCGCCTGCATATCTGAACCCAAGGACCATAGAGGAACTGGGGAACTGAGCTGTCAATGGAACTGTCAATATTAGAAATTACGGATTTATACAACTGGTTAAGATTTTGGGTCTATGTTGACCTGAGACTTCCTACAAATAATCTGCTATTACTCTTAGTAGGGTCAATTGTGAAAACAGAAACATTCTTAAAATGGGAGTAAGCAACAAGATCAGACTAGAGTCTCTTCTCTTGCTTCTGTGAACTCTAACACGTAAGAGTAAATACTAGAATTAACTGTACTAAGGTACAGTTACTTTAACAAACCTTAATTTGTGTCTCTCTTCTCCTATTTAAAGTATAATGGCCTTTAATATCAGCTAAGGCTAATCTTAACGTTACTCATTTTTCTTTCCTTCATCACACCTAACTTAAACAGCAAAATAAGTCCTCTCAAATATATGGGAAAATGTACAGGTGGTTTTAAGAAACATAAATTATATGTAAAAAACCAACCCCAGAAGAGCCATTTGTGAATAAACAGGGTATCAGAGACCTTTCTCAGTGTCCTTCAGTTTGTTCATGGCAAAGCTGTGACAAGGACTTTGGCTTTCAATGTCCCTGCCTCCAAATATTCTTTCCACCAGGATGTACTTCCCAGACATATTCTAGAATCAAATATCTGAAGAACTTATTCTCAGTAACAGTTTTGGGATTAAATAATCACATATCTCACAGTCTGAAGATGTTACAAAAGCTGTTATTTTTGTTGTTATGCACTATTGAATGGGAACTGACCCACGGCTGACCCTCCAGGAGCTTGTCAAAGGCGGAATCACATAGGAGGAGATAACCCGTCTTTCTCCTACAGAGCAGCTGTTGGATTCAAACTGCACACCTTTGCTTTCACTGTGCCACTTACTTTACATTAAGCCTCAAGAACTCCCTTTGCAAAAATAAAAAAATGCCTGCTTTTACTCCCAGAAAACAGAACATCAACAGTCTCCTCATGATCTTAAAGGAAAAGGAAAAGTTTGTTAAGTTCCTTTGTCATAACTGAACACAAAAATAAATGGGAAACACCAATGAGATCCCACTTAGCAAAGACCAGGGAGGTAACATGAAAGTTAATTCTTCACAAAGATCCTTGCTTTGATAATAAATCAATATCATTTCTATTTTCAAAACATTTACACAAACATGAAAATCAATTTTTCTTCTCTGAAAGAAGTTTAGTTTTAAATTTTTTTTTTCTAGTTTGGCTTAATGGAAGTTTTGTCTGAAATGTAAATACATGAAGCAAGAAAGGAAACTGGATCTAAATGATATTTTGGGGCTACTTCTAGACTCATGAATCTGTATTCCTTTAATTTTATGAGAGCTAAAATTATATTGAATAAATTGTTGAAAGAGTTGCATTGGTTTATATTTTAATGCATTTATTTACTTATTTATCAAGCACTTATTGGGTCCTCTTAAATATTTTAACTACATAAAACAAGAAAATCTGGCAAGTAGGATTTTCTTCTCTTCTTCCTCTCTGATATAGTTTGTTTTTCACTATAATTTGCTTTAGAATGACATTATAAGGAATAAAGCAAAATAGAGTATTACAGAATTTTTAACAGATTAACAACAGGTAAGAAAAAATAGAGGAAGAAATGCATAAAACTTACATGAATTGGGTCCAGAATCTTGACTGCTGCTTTTTGGCCATTTTTCTTATTCAGAACTTTAAAAACTTTCCCATAAGTTCCTTTTCCAATTGTTTCAATGATTTCCCAGGTATCAGAGGGATCAGGAAAGTTATCAAAGATAATTTTTTTCCCAATTAATGGAAGCATCTCAAAGGTTTAAGTCACTGGAAAGAAAAAGTACAGGATTTTATTTTCATCTCTGTGATGATCTTAAGTGACACATATATATTTATGAAAAAGTATCTAATATTTGCACTTACATGATAAAAAATACACCACACCAGGATATTAAAAGACAAATTGCACTGGGAAAGCCTGCTGTCAGAGAGCTCTCCAAAGTACTGAAGAGCAATGATGTCAGTCTGGAGACTAAGGAGCACCTGATCTAGGCCACAGTCTCTGCAATTATTTGCTATACATTGGAGAGCTGGACAATGACTAGGGATGACAGGAGAATGGATGCCTTTGAGTTGTGGTGCTGGAGAAGAGTAATTAATATACCATGTACTGCTAGGACAACAAATAGTTTCATCCTAGAGAGGGTGAGAGTAGGCTGCTCCTTGGAGGCAAGGATTCTAAAGCTCCATCTGACATACTTTGGACATGGTGCAAGGAAGGACCAGTTTTTGGAGAGGGACATCATGCTTGCGAGAGTGGAGGGACAGCAAAAGGGAGGAAGACACTCAATGAGACGGACTGATTCCATGACTAGGATAATAGGGTAGGTTGGTCAGAAACAATTAGATTGGCACAAGCTAGAGTATGGTTTAGGGCTGTTGTACATAGGGTCACTATGAGTCACAGGCAACTTGATGGCACATAACAGTAACAACAATGGACAGTACATAAAAATCACAGAAGATTTTAGACTATTTTTAAAAAACAAAATAATTTTGGAGGGATTTTTTTAGTGAATGCATACTTACAAAATAAATATATTATGATTTACTTTTAAATGAGAACAAATTAACAACGAAAATTACTTTTCAAATTGAAAAAGGTACTACTAAGAGGACTACAAAGCCTTTTTTTCAGATTCACATTTTTAAGTTTTACTTTAATTTAAATTTTGATTTTATAAAGATGAGGAGCCACTTTTACAACCTAACATATTTGCTTATTAAAACTGTATTAACACCAGCAAGGATTGCCAGGACGTTCATTATTTATATGTTAATATGTTTATAAACTCCTGTACAGTTTTTTTTTGGGGGGGGCAGAGGGAGGGTTAGAAGTCACACTTGGAGTCGTTTGCTGTGATGGACCCCAGTGCCCGAAGCCAGCAGCAGGCAGAGGGAGGAGCCTGTATGGGAGAAAGAAAATTAAAAACAAAAACAAACAAACCTGTATTAGCAACATGCCTCCGGAAACTCTATGAACTTTAATAAATGTCTATAGTTGGAGAGGGGCTTCAGGCCTTCTGTTCATGTGCTCGCTATGAGTCGTGCTTGACTCAAAGGCAATCAACAACAATGACACTTTAACTACAGAAAAAAGATAATAAGACAAACATATGCATTTATGGAAGTATATGTCTGTCATGCCAGATCCCTGCAGAGGGAATTCTCAGGACAGCCTCATTTGTCTGTGAGTCCACAGGAGAAATCTTTGTTCAGACATACACATTCATCTATTTGCCCAGCATGATCAGCCTCTGACTGTCCGTGTGACGGTTTCCTTCTGCTGTGAATGTGCATATTGAGTTGTCTGTTCCTTAGCTGCTTAATATAATTTTGCTAATGCTTTATAAACAAGGCTTTATAATTGAGCCTTATTTCAATGTGATAATGCTGTTGTTGGGTGCCATCAAGTAGACCATGACTCACAGTAACCCTATGAACAGCAGTTCTGAACCCTCCCCTAACCTGTGCCATCATCATCTCTGATATACTTGAGTCTATTGTTGCAGTCACAGTGTCAATTCATCCAGTTGAGTGTGTTCCTCTTTTCTGATAAGAGGTTCATATTTAAGTTGTTCTGATTTACTTCTCTTTAGCAAAGATATTAAGGAGTTCTGGTGCAATGTTATGGGTTTACTTTGCTAACTGAAAGGTCAAATTTTCCAGATGCTACAGAGAAAAAGACAGGTAGTCTTGTTGGCCTCAGAAATCCAGTGGAAGGTCTCCATGAGTTGGAATTGTCTCAACAGCAATGAGGTTTGGGTTTCTTGGCAGTCAAAATTTAACATGACTTTCTAAAGGAGACTATCACCTAGTGAGCTAGATGAATCACACACAATAAGACCCAGTTCTAGACTTCCAATTAGAGTCCTCAATCTTCTATGTTCCCCATACCCTACATTCAGCTGTCTCCATAAAATTACAAAAAGAAAAGGCTGTTTAAAAGGAAAAGAAACAACTTCAATGAATTATGTGCTCCCATTACTTTTTGGTGAGTCTCACAGTTTTATAAACTATGTAGAAACTATTTCACTTCAATGTTATAAAGTTGACTGCATCTGTGTTTGTATGTGAATGAACACACATGGAAACATAGATTAATAGGTATGCATTCACATTAGCTCATAAAATTAATCTATCTGACCACATTAATAGTTTCTAAGCTCTGTACATACCATCAATACATTGATAATATAAGTAACCTTCCTTCCTATCTACCAACTCTCTTCACTCTTCATTCTCTCCCTTTCCAACAAAGCTTCAATAGATTGTATTATTATAAATCCCTTTTACACACTCCCTACACCCTTGTTCTCTATCATATTCTCCCAGAGAAAAAGCAACAACACTAATCAAACTCTATATCTTGTTCACACCTATGACTATGTTGTTATGTACTGTCTAGTAGACTACAACTCACAGCAACCTGTGAACAACAGCTCTGAATCTTGCCCTGTGCTGAACCTAACTCATCATCTCCGCCACACCTGACTCCAACTACCACAGTCATTATGTCAATCCATTTCATCCAGGGTCTTCCTCTCCTGCACTGACAGTCTACCCTTCAAGCATGATATCCTCCTCCAATGACTTGTCCATCTTTGCAACATGCTTTAAGTATGTGAGACAGAGTTTCAAAAGCCTTGCTGGAAGAAAATGTAACATTGATTAGTTTCACTTTAAATTCAAAGCTACAAACCTAAAAACAGAGCCTCAACATTCCTAGCAGTTCTGAACTTCCCTGGTTTGCATTCTTCCCTCTCTCTAACATGACTACTTTGGACTTCTCAGATTTTTCTTACTTTAATGTCTATTCTCTCACAAAACATTCTAGTTTGAAGTTCTCACTTGATAATTAACTAAGAAAATGGACAAAATAATAAACTCCTTAATCTTATCATCTCCAAAACAATAAACCAACACAAAACAACAACAAACAATTTATTCCTACCATCAGTAATTGCCATTTGGTTTCAGTCCTTTTATTTGATTGGTTGGTTTCTTTTCACTTTCCCATCTCAGCGCAAACATTTCTTCAGAAAGGTCTTTCTTCACTGATCTATGCAAAATTAACCTCTCTACTTATTTTGTTACTCTTTCTTAGATTATAAGAGCTCTAGGGGCATAATAGGTAAGAATTTGTGCTGTCAGCCCACAGGCAGGCAGTTTGAATCCACCAGTTGCTTCACAGGAGAAAGATGGGCAATCTTCTCCCAGGTGATTTATAGCTTCTAAAAACCAGCCATGAGTCATTTCCAACTCCATGACAATGATTTCATTTTTTAAATTTAATTTTTATTTTAACAAAAATTTACAGGAAAGTTGGATTTTTTCATTCATTCATTGTTGCACATTTTCTTCCTTATCCTCCCTAAATTCATTTTTGCTGTGGTTGTGGTTGTTCGTGAGTTTGGTGGTTTTAATATTAGTTTGCAAGGATTTTGACTGACTTTTAGAATGTAAGATCTGAGAGTACTGGGTAATTGTTATTTCTACCACAATTTCCTATCCACAATTCTTTTCACATAAAAGACAATGAGGAAACACTAGTTAAATGAGTAATTTACCTGTTTACCTGTCATCTTGTTCACTTTGAAATGTGCCCTATCCCTAGCTCTGTGACTAGAATAAAAACATAAAAAACCTGTCACTGTAGGACCATGTTCAAATCATGACGGCCCTCCATCAGGTTTCAAAGGTTGCAAATATTGTTGGGAGCAGTCTACCTCACCTTTCTAGGGGCACTTGCGGATTTGAACAAGTAACTTCTCAGTTAGCAGATCAAGGTATAATGCATTACACGACCAGAGATCCTCATGTAGATGTTAAATATATAGATTTTGAACAAGTAAATAAATATGGTTCTTAAAAAATTTTTTTGGAGGATGAGAAATAAGAATTATGGAAAATAGAATTTTATAATTTAAAATAAAGATTATGTTCTGAATCATTATACTTAGGGGCACATCATCTAGTAAATTGCTATGAATGCCTGCCAAAATTTACATGACTGCACAAAAATTAGTTATGAATAGTTCTAAAAACACTTAATCTTCATGAAAATTGTGTCTTTGATCCAAAATGCAAAGGCACAAGTAAGAGGTAATCAGTAATAATTATCCTCTTTAACAATTTCCTAATCAGTGACAAGATAACTACTTCTTAGATCTATCTACTTGAGTCATGCAAAAAAAAGCATTTATGGCATCCTTTTGATGTGCAGGTTAGACCAAAAGACCAAATTAAATCTTGCTGAATGCTTGAAATAGGAGTTTGCATCAGGGGAAACAATCATTATATGGAATAATACCTTTCAAGTGATACAGTAAGTGAACAAAATTTCAATTTCTGATACATTAAAAATAAAAGGGGTTGGGGGAAGGAACCAAAAATCACTCGAACTCACTGCTGACAAGTAGGTTTTGATTAAGAAGGAACAGAACTCTCCTGATTGGTGTCCAGTCTTTGGGGAGGCAGACTGCCTCCTCTTTCTCCCAGAGATCAGCGAGTGGGTGTAAACCACCAAACTTCACTCATCAGCCCAAAGTTCAATCACTGTGCTACAAGGCTCTTTTTCTAGGCATTAATTACTATAAATTAACTTTTTCCCTTTAAATTAAAAAAAAATTAATTGAAAAATACCACATACATAAAAATAAAGCTTTTAGAGACACAAAGACAAGCAAATGCTTCCCTTCCTCATTTGGCTGACTATGGCGTACATGTTCATGCTGCTGGACAGATGGACAGTAGG